GAGTTTGGTTTTGGAAGTTTGCTCCCCCACTGTCACAATCGCAAAATAATTGTGCTGGAAGTAAGAGGCTGGCCTCTTTGAATAATCTGGGAAATGTATTCAAGAACTCTCATGTTCTTTCTGCATCCCGTAAAGAAAAGCAGAGAAGGATGTAAAATGCCTTCCAGATGGGTTTCTGGGAGACAGTCATTGGTCTCTGTAATTTAGGCAGTTTACACAGTGATGTTCGGAAAGAGAACTTAAACATCTCCATCACACTAGGCTGATCAATTGCAATTTGTTTATTAGCATCCTGTGAAAACTACCAAAATGTATGTATAAACAATTCATTGGGAGGGGTGGGAGATGAGTGGAATTAGTGCACCTCTGTGATTTGCTATGTAGAAATGTAGATATTTGGAAATGTAGGCATTTCCTTATAGATCATTACTGGTGATTCTCTGAGGACAGAGTGCAATGCCTTCCTCCTCCTCCTCCCTTTTCTCCCATTCTCCCTTTATCTTCACTTGCCCATCCTGGATTTACTCTCAAAATGTAGAAGAAAGGCAGAGAGGTAGCACTTTTGCATAGGTTAAAAGAGGTTAGAATAGGGACATGTTAGCTGTGAAGAACTATGTGTCCCCAGGAAGAGCATAAGGACCTGCAAACGTATCCTGCTCTTGTTCCCAGGTTAATTGTGGGATATATTTTAGTTTAGCTTTTTTTGTTTTTATACTGTCTTGGACTTTTTTGGGGGGGGTTAGTTAGTACTCCAGTTTTAAATCTCTCCTTGTATGATTTATATTGTGCCTGCCGCAGGTAATTATGTGATGTAAGAAAACAAAGTACATTTAAAGTTAGACATTTATTCCTTCAGCCTTAAACTGGAGATGGCGCCCAGCGAGTGTTTTCTCATTGTTTATGGCTTATTTCCTGAATTCCCGTAGCAATAGTGTGTATGTGAAACCCCACACTGCCTGTTTCTTCCTTAGGCTGCTCATTAGTTGGGCAAAGCGCACACTCCTAAGGCTGTATTGCCCTCAAGTGGTCTAGTTTGAGAATAACCAACTATTTTTTTCTGGATGGGGTCCAGGTTTCCAATCAGTCTCATTTGACTTAAGCATTTCTCCTGACCAGGAAAAAAAAAAAAAGACAATTATTATGTGCCAAATCTGTGGAGTATGAGGGAGAAGGAAAGTTTTATTTCCCAATATTCCCTCAAAAGGTATAGGAGTAAAAAGTACAATAGCAATAGTCACAAGCTTTGTTAATTGTAGAGTAACTGGCTTCATGCCTGTGGCTGCAGGGACACAGTTGTGGGAAATGAGTTGACTGGCTCCCTTAGGCCTTTGGGGCCAATCCTCAGCTTCTCTAGGGCAACCCCCTCATCAGAACTCATGACATGTTCCACAACTAAGGACATACAGTTATTTGGAAAGAATGCATTCAGGGAAAACATTCAACTCTTCCCCATGTGGCCAAGACTCTCAGAAAGGAGGCCAACAATTATGGTGATTACATTAATCACGAGGATGGTTTGTGAAGGAGGGTACTGATTTGGAGGGTCTGTAATGGTAGCTCTGTGGGGACTCTGCTATAATTGGCCACCATCAAGCCCTCTAATGCCTAGGATTAGTTTCCCAGGCTGTTGATGGAGAACAGAGTAGACCACCCTCAAAAGGATGAGCAGACTCAGAATGTGCTGGGTTGTTCTGGGCTGGCTTGTGGGGCAGGTCGGTTACGGGGCTGTTGGCTACTCAGCTAGAGAGCCTATCCTGGAGCAGGTGGGCCAGCTAAAAATGCATGAGGCGCTGTTTCTTGTGATTTGCCACATTGTTTCCAGCATTTTGGGTAATTTCGATTAATTATAAACCTCCTTCAATAATGAGAGCTTTTCGGCTAGGAAAACACTAGTTCTTGTACACTGCTCTTGGGCTGGACACAGAGATGAACTGGGCTAGTCCAATGAGTAGAAATGAGCTCTTGATTTAGCAGTTACCTGGTCTGTGGGAAAGAACACGGTGCTTAGTAACCTGGGATCTAGAATTAGTTCTGCCACACACTGGTTATGTGACCATGAGCGTGTCACTTAACCTTTCTGGGCTCAGTTTCGTCATCTGCAAACTGTGAAATTTAGCTCAGATTAGTAGTTTACAGACTGATGTGTGGGGAGGGTGTGCCTCACTGGCTACCTCCAGGACAGAGTCCTTTCCTCCCTCCCTCTTTAAGCAAAGCAAGCTCACTTTGATCCATTTTATAAATCGACATTTGAAAACCACTAGATCAGCTGGTATATACGTCTTTATTTTCCAGCTATGTTATTGCTATGATCAGGACAGGCTGAATGGTGATGGTGACACTTCTTGGTGAAGTTCTTTTTCTTGTTTTTAATCTTAAGTAAAATCATATATGGCTCTAAGTCCAAACACTTTCCCATAAAATGAGTCCAATCTGATTCTGGGATGATGACATGTGTGTGCTGGAATTGGGGTGATGAAGGATGGACTGTTAATCACTATGATCCCACAGCTCCCGGGGGGCATAGGCCAGGGAAAGAACTAGGTAGAACTTACCAAGTAAACACCAATTCTAGGT